GAGGAGGGGGGGAGGACGAGAACGAGGAGGAGGAGGAGGAGGAGGAGGAGGAGGAGGAGTATGGAGGCCAGGGCCACGCCACGCCGTGTTTGAAGCTCCGAAGGGTGGGTGGGGCTGTCGTGTCTGCGGACCGGGGCCAGCGGCGCGCTCTCGGCCGATGCAGCTGCCGTGGCCATGGGGTCCCGCGGGCTACGGCGTTGCCTCGCCCCGCCCACATCTCTCGCAAGGTGTGGGCCTGTTGCCAGCTTTCAACGTATCCGTATCCTTGATATTTGTATCACCTTTACCTCGGTGCCGATCTTGAGGATTCCTTTTGTTTTTGAGGGCGCAGACCTAAGTTTGTCATCGCCAAACTAGGGTTCTGCGGTCTTAGGGATAAAGGTGAGCTTGAGGTTGGTCAGCCTGAACTGGTGCATTCGCTGTGGCGCGTATGCTCGCTGTAACTTCAAGGATCTTGCCTGCCCAGGTGCTGAGCCGGTGGACTCGGAGCGGAGAGTTGGGGCTTTCGGCATCTGAGAAGGAGGGGATGGGCCCTTCGTCGGCCATAAATCCTGAGGGGATTCCAGTGCCCCCCCCTGAGGCGTCATCTGCCGCGATCGCTTTACAGGGCGGGCGTCTCGTGCCATCACGACGGCCGCTGAGGAGCGCAACGGCGCAAAAGCATGAGGGCCTCGATCGCCCGCCCACTCTCGCGCGGCCAAGGCGGTCAGGGGCTCGCTGAAGCTGAAGGGCGCCCACACACCCCCGCGGCGGAAGATGAGGAGAGGAAGGAGGCGGGAAGAGGAGGAGGAAGAAGGGGAAGGAGGAGGCGGATGAGAGAAGTGAGGAGGAGGAGGAGGAGGACGTTCAGAGGACAGCAACCATGTACATGTACGTAGTCAGTTTCCGCCCTTCTGCGTTTGAACGCAGTTGCTCGTGCATGCGTGATTGTGGAGGGCGTGCACGTGCACGTGTTGCGGCCTGCTCAGGGGTTGCGTGGGAGCACTTTCGGAATTGTTGGGTGCCTTTGAAGGTATGCGAGCCGATTTTGGAGGGGGATGGAGGGGAGGAGTATGAGCAGGGCGGGGATGACGGGGGATGAGGAGCAGTGTAGATAGGCGGGGGACGAGGAGGACGAGGGTTTGGAGGAGTTGGCGCACGCTTATCGAGGGTCGATCATAAGTTGGGTTTGTGTTTGCCCAGAGGGTCGCAGACCTCCCCAAAATCATCAGACGAATCTCCAAGCTGAATGTTTGGACATCCAGTCGGTATGCTTTTGACCCTCAAGTTACGTACCACACATCTGCCCGACGTGGTTCACGTTTGTGATGCCAGTCTATCTGTATGTATGTGTATATGTATACATGCTGTAGATGTAACAGTCAACTACATATAAACACATGCATGTCTTATAATACAATAACATCAAACAACATGGCATGCAATAACACGAACACATAAGACAAATTCATTCATTCATAAATCAATCATGGCCGTCGGCTCATCCCGCCACCGTGCCCTGGTTGTGGGTCAGAGTTCTCAGGGATGCTTCTTGGGGTCTATTCGGAGCGCTCTCGGTGACCTTTTGCTCGCAGATTTAGGGCCTCTTGTAAGCCTCTTCGAGGCTTGGGGCCCCTTGGGGGCCTCTAAGGGGCTTCTTGGGCCCCCTCTGGGGGCCACTTGGGGCCGAGGGCTCGAACTGTCAGTGCGGGTCCCCCATCTGGGCCCCCATTCGGGCTCCCTCTTGGAGCCGTCTTTAGGGCTTCCTGGGCAGTGTTGGGCTTTTCTTGGGGCGTCGTGGGGCCCTCTAGGGCCGTTTTGGGGCCCTCGTGGAGGCTTCTTGGGCCGTCTTAGGTCGATGTTGGGGGCTTCTAAGGCGGTCTTGGAGCGTAGGGACGCCGAACATGCGAGAACGCCAACAACTTTCAAACACCTAGGGAAATCAATGATGTTGGCCTCCTGGGGCCCTCTCGGGAGGTTTCTTGGAGGAGGATATTGGGGCGTCTTGGAAGCTTTGTGCCTTGTGGTGCGTTTTGGGGGCAATTATTCGGCGAGTGAAGGACTCTTGGATCGTTTTGTGGAGCTCTTTGGGAGCGTTTCCATATCCATTGGGTTTCTGGGGTCTGGAGGTTTCAAGCCTCTCGGAGGCCTCCCGCAGACAGTTTGGAGTCCTCTGGGGGGCAGAGTCCGAAAAGTGGGAGACCACGCCGCGAGACTCGGACAGCTCCCATCCTCTCCTGTTTTCCTTCGTCCTCCGAATCCTTCCTCCCTCCTCCTCCCACTCTCTTCCTCCCGAGTTTCCGTGGAGAGGGGGAAAGGGGAGAGTCGCTGTGGCGTCGGCTGGGTGCTGCGTGACGTAGGCTTGTATGTATCGAAGACGCCTGCGGCGAATCACCGCCGCCCCCTGCCTTTCTGGAAACGCATATGTGGCAGAACGTTGGGTTAGAGCTTGGCCAAGCTATCGGGCTATGTGTTCCCCGAGTCGGTTTGGAAAGCCTTCGGGGAACACGTGGGGGAGGAGGAAGAGGAGGAGGGGGAGTAAGTCGGCTCACGAATCGAACTTCTAGCGCCTTCTGTAAGTTCCATGTTTTTGCGAATTGTGTTTCGAATGACTAAGTTGATGTCCATTGTTGAGACCGTCAACCGTTATCGCGTTTCTGGAACCACGTATGCGGTTGAAGGTTGCGTCAGAGCTTGGCCACATTATCGGACCACGTGTTCCCCGAATCCGTTGGGGAACCCTTCGGGGAACACATGGAAGAGGAAGAGGAGGATAAGGAGAGAGGAGTAACAGACAAGGGGAGGCCTCTTTGGCCGTCTTGGGGCCCTCTTGGGGCTGACTTGGGGTCCTCTTGGAGCGTTCTGAAGCCATCTTGGAGGCCTCTGGGACGATTTTTTGGGCTCCCTGGGCAGTCTTGGGCGGTCGGGGCAACAGAACGGAGGACAAGCCAGATTTTCGCTCCCTCAGGCCTTCCTGGAGGACCTCTTGGGCTCCTCTGGGGCCATCTTGGAAGCCTCTCGGGCCCATCTTGGGCCAGCTTGCCCGTCTTAGCGGCCATCTTGGCCGTCTTGGAGGTCATCTTGGCCGTCTTGGAGGCATCTTAGAGGCCATCTTAGCCGTCTTGAAGGCCATCTTGGGCGTCTTGGAGGCCTCTGGGGCCGTCATGGGGCCATCTTGGAGGCCTCTTGGGCGATCTTGGGGCGATCTTGGGGACCTCTTGGGCCGTCTTGGGCTGTCGGAAAGCCGAAAAGAAGCAAATGCCAAAATCCTTCAAAAACCTTAGGACAACCGTGGAGGACCTCTTGAAGGCCTCTTGGGCCGCCTTGGAGGCATCTTGGACCGTCTTGGAAGCCATCTTGGACCATCTTAGGCGGGCTTGGAAGCCATCTTTGGCCATCTTGTCCGCCTTGGAGGCATCTTGGACTTCATTTGGGGCCATCTTGGGCATGAAAGGCATTGACATGTGCAGTTTGGGGTCTCTTCGGGTGGCCGGCGGGACGGGCCGAAGCCCCAGTGAGTTTTCAAACAGAACCCAAACCGTCTAGGATCTAGCACGCCAGGCACCCCTGTGATAAATTAATAGGGGGCGCCGGATATCGAGTGGCCTTCGGCCCATCCCGCCACCGCGCCTGGGTTCGTTGGGACCTCGTGAGAAGCCTCTCGGAGGCCTCCTGGAGACAGTTTGGAGGCCTCTGGGGAACTGTGTCGGAGCCTCTTGGGGCATCTTTTGGGCCTCGTGAGTGCGCCTTGGGGGCCTCTTGGGGCCCCTCTAGACTTTTCAGTTCGTGATCCCCTCTTGGGGCACTCTTGGAGAGCTCTTAGGCTATCTTGAGGCCCACTTTGGCCGTCTTGGGGCCATCGAGGGCTGTCTAGGAGCCCGATTGGGGGCTTCTTGGGCCGTTTTGGGGTGATGTTGGGGGCCTCATGGGGCGTCTTCAAGCGTCGGATGCCCGAAGAGGCGAGAAAAGCAACAACTTTCAACACAACACATGGGATTCAACAGTTCTATGGCTCTGGGGGCCCTTTTGGGAAGCCTCTTCGAGGCTTCTTGGGGCGTCTTGGGAGGCATCCTGGGCCGTCTGGAGGCCATCCTGGGCGTCTTGGAACGGTGTTTCTGAGACTCGGGGCTCTCTTGGACCGTCTTGGAGGTCTCTTGGGGTCCCCTGGCCCGTTTTCGGGCCCTCGATGCCCTTTCGCCAGACTTGCTGGAGCAAGGTGCTCCCCTGGCTGGCCCCGATAGACCCTTCTTTTCCAAATCGGCAAGACCGGGCTCCGGGGGAGGGCTTTGGGGATGGGGGGGCATCTCCCACGACGGTGAGACCCAAAGGGTCGGCGGATGACGGGAAGCGCCCTCGAAAGGCCTTGGATCGAGCGATTCCAGGCGGCAGAAGAGTGCCCGCGGGGTCGCAAGCCCCCGCACAGCATGCAGTCACGTCGATGGTGAGACATGTCGTGCTTCTCCTTCTACTATGTGCCATCGCCGAGCAGAATAAATCACGCTGGAGGACCGAGCGTTCGGTGGCGGCACGACCACCGTGGAGCCCAATGCCGACCAAGACGGGGGCGAGCAAGTGCACAGCACAAGGAGCTATCACCTCGCCTGCAAGGCCATACTCGCCAGAGGGCGGGTATGGTTCAGGGGGTCCTATACGAAGGTCAGGATGCAGTGGCGAAGATCTGCCGATTCGCGGCACATCACGGCGTGGTGCTCCCACAATATTTTCTTCCGCCTTGTCACCACGTCCCACGACGAGTGTGTGTCAACATGTGGTCTTACAGTGCCGAGACTATGCTGATGCCTGGCCGACTGAACGAAGTCTTCAGAGACGCAGCGAATGCCCGAGTTGACGTCCTTGCTCCGCAGGGCACTGTGCTCTCCATCGAGCACCGGTGGGAGAACGCGGGCTACATTATCACCCCTTCGCTTTGCTCCGATCGACACTTGAAATATGGAGTGGCCAGAGCGATATCAAAGCGACTTGCATCAAGAAACGACATCAGGGTCACGCGCCGATGTTCGCTGGGCAAATGGGCTGGTGTACGTGTGCAGCGCAAACCCCACATTGACTTTTACATACTCGGCGGGTATGCACCTGCTGATAAGCCGTCGTGACAAAGACGCGTTCTTCGACAGCTTGGATCGAGCTTTGAGGTGTATCCCGACGCGGCGCGCAGTGGCCGTAGACGGCAACGATATATGGCACATTCTTTACCAGAGGTCGAGCACGCGAGCTCTCGTGGCAGATGCCGACTTCAGTGGGCCGACAATGGCCGGAGACATAATGACATCCTTTTCAGCGCCGCATGTTGGCGCTCGACGCCCACGGGCCCGCAAAAGGACGCAGCGCTGCATGGCGTAACCCCGATGGGTAAGGCGGAACGAGGATCGACTATATCGCTATATCGAAGAGCACTGGCTCTCAGGTCGCTGCCCGCGCTTTACGGGGCACGCCGCTCTCTCTTGGCCCTGCCCGAGACCGCGCGATCATCGAAGCCTCGGCGCGCGTGGGCCGACGTCTCCCGAAGCTCGCACGAAAGATACCAATCCCTGCTTGGCATAGAGAACGACTGATTGGGCACCTCCATGAACGGCAGCATCGGACAGCTTCTGAAGCAGAAACACCAGGGAGCGGAGGCCCTGTTGCCACCAAAATCAGCGACGCGCTGCGCTGCCGGGGCCGCGCGACCAGCGCCCTTGCCCCCCTCGGCCCCGAGCTTGCGCTCAGGTCACTGACGGATTACCATGACCT